GGGTAAGCCTGATCACCTGCCATTGAATGTTGCCCATTGTATTGCAACAGCATGAAAGAAAGATAAAGATGTGCCTCCCAAGGCCATGGTGTGGTTCTATCTGCCCCTTCACAGTGGACATGGCATAAGGCAAAGTGGAAATACTCTGCAGCATGCCTAACTCTCCAGCTGCTCTTGGAGAAGGAACCAAATAAGACTCAAAGCTCCCAGCCATGTGCAATAGCAGCTGCATTCAACCAACCACCAGAAACTGCAGGATTAAGCACATCCCTTTCTTTTCAGAAAGACAGAAACAACCCCAACATCATTCTACAGTGAATCAACTTTGTTCAAACATATTGATCCTGCTAAGCAGGGCACTCACAACACAGTATAACAGCCTTACTTACACGCTGCTACTTCTCAGAAAGACACCCAAAACAGCTACCTAGGACCAGTACTCACCCAGATGAAGAGCTGAAGTTCTGTAGGAGAACATCTCATTAGCTTCCCCCAACAGGAAACAGGGTTGCTGAAGGCCTGGAGAGTACATAGGGACACCAGGTGATTGTTTGGGGCTGATCATTATAATTAGAGACAATACATCTCAGCTGGAGCCTCATGTAGAAAGTCATAATGTATTAAATCATCAGTCGGTGGTTTATGTCTTTTTCATATCTGTTATTTACATTTTTCTGGCTTATTGATCAGCAGCCCACATACAAGTAGTTGAGGGAACACAGCCCTATGTCATCAAAACCACACCACCTTCAAAAACTGCTAACATGGGGTTAAAGCTTTTACACCAGCAGTCAACTTTCCTTACCCTAGCTGGTTTTTCCTTTGGAGGGGCGAGAATAGATATATTTACAGGTCTTTTGAACTTCTAAATCAAGCTGGAAGGAATTCAAGTGCCCAAGAGGAATTTATCATAGCTGCTGGGGGACAAGAAATTTGCATACACATTCCTGTTAATATGAGTAAGCAAGAAAGGGCACAAACTCCACCTCTGCATAAAGCACATCCATCTTTATGCTAAAGTGATTTATGAGGTAAAACTGCCTGCCTTTAAGCACCTTTTAAAGTAGAATCAACCCCTGATAATAAAGCAGCTATTTAGACGGATAAATACACTGGTGCAAGCAGATGCAGCTCAGTGTCAGTCCACAGCACAGAGAGGCCCTGTACCGATGGTGAGCATGGGTCATTGTAAGTGTCACCTACCAAAGTAGGTTCAGAATTGTATCCAGTGTTGGGCATCATCACAGTGTTTTCCAATATGATATATGTTACGATACTGGCTTTCTGGAACCTGCAAAAATCAAAAATGCTTCTCCTAAACTTAGTACACTTTGCTGCGCTGAATGACAGCAAAAAAAATACTGTTACATCTACCAGTCCTGAGTTTGCTTAGCTAAACCAGATCTGGGGCTAAAATAGGACAATTGGTTGACAACCCAGGTTTGTCTCACTAAAGGTGACATTGTTACCCAAAACACAATTTACTGAGGAGATTTCTGAAGTGACAGCCCACTGCACAGTGCCCAGCGGAGCCTGAAACACATGCTGTACGTAAGAAGCCGTGCCCAGCCTTTTTCCCTGGACCTTTTTGCACTTATGCATTCTAAAAACATGGATGAGGCTATTGCATGCCAGGATGTTAGGAAATGTTGTGTATCTGTGAGAGTCCTCCTCCTCATGCTGCCCCTCGGTCTGGTGTCTGCTGTGTCTGCTGGCTGCTCTCAGAGGATGCCTTTCCAGCCAGCTGCCTCCGCTGCAGGGAGATTTACACTGTGTATTACGACTGCCAGCTACAGACTTGATAATACCTAAACACCTACTTTTCACCTCTTTAGGTGAAACGGGTTAAATCCATATGTTTAGCTTTTATTTTCCACATTCTACATTCTAGAGCACATGAATACACACCAGATGTGCGTGAGAGGGGATGAACTCCTGTCAGACAGTGAAAAGCTATCTCAGAGCCTGCCTTCACATCTTCAGCTACTTCTAAGGATGCTTTTGCACTGGCTGGTACCGGCTGTTGGGTCCCACTCATGGGGCCCTGAGGAAGAAGCTCTGTGTCCAGGCATGGTCAAGGGTGGACCTCTCTCTCATGATTTCACCACCAAGGACTTGAGAGCATCTGTCCTAAGAATGATACCCCAAAGATGTATTTCACTGCAGCTCATGCCTTTTGGGATTCAGCCTCCTAGAACTAAAGCACCAGTAAATTTAAAAAGTCAAATACAGAAGACAGAAGTGATATGAACATTTTAACCAAAGTGAAGAATAGATCACAGTCTTGCCTTGACAAGATTCTCATGGTAATGTCATACAACATTCTGTCAGTAATTATTAATGAATACTATGAACTATGTGAAATTTTCACTTTTTTTCTCATAGTCTTACATTTCCTTTTAATTCTTTATTATCTGTCTAGTGAAATTAACTTTGTACTCCATAATAGACGACTCAGCACATTTACAGTTATTAATGTCTACTGAAGGACCATGTTTTAAGTATCTAAAGATTTTAGGGATTTTTTAATAACTTTTTTTAACACCACTTTTTTTTTTTTTTTTTACTTCATGGATTTTCCTCTATTTTTATAGGTTACAAAACTCTTAAAGGGATTCCTTGTGCTGTAAAGTTTTTTTTTTTCTCAAGGGAGCATGTGTCTTTTTTTTCCAGAACATTATATAGAGATATTTTGCCATGCACAAGATTTTTATTCACAATAGGTAAAAGTTAAAAAAAGAAAAAATGCTCTAAACAAAAAATTAAATCATTCAAGTCAGGAAGAACATCAACAGGAGTTTGTTTATGCTGTTTATTAGAGAGATGCTACTAATACCAAATGGTCTGCAAAGATTCCACAAATAAAGGTTCCTTGTGCTTAGTAAATTGTAATGATAATTTTGCTGAAAATTGAATGTATTTAGACATAATTCCCAGTGCAGGTAATGATCCTGCTTCCTACAGGACACACTTAATCCATCAAGAGTACTCCAGAACACTTTGTGCCTTTATTTGATTGAGTCCATCTGGGAACTCCACATATGTAAGAAATAAGATTTGCAGTTAATTGGCAAAAGCTTAAAAGGTTTGAGAAAGGTTCTTCTGCACAGGAGGACATAATCCATGTTCATAGAAAGTCATATTTAACTCACAGATGAGTTCCATCTTGAAGACAAGTTCCTGCTGACTATTTCCAGCAGAGCTGAAACTGAAGCATCTTCTGCTGTCACACAATCACCCATTTGCCCAATGCCTTTCGGGACAGAGACTGTTCCTCCTGCACATGGGGACATGCAAGAAATGCCACTACCAAGTAACTTCTCACAGCAACCGAGTCACTTTTCTTACATAAATCTTCTAAACAAAACAATCTCTCATAGTAAAGTAACATTTACTGGAGCCATCGGCTTATACCAGAGACAGCAGAAAGTTGCTAAATAGCTCTGACCCAAGAGGATGTTTACAGTCTGAGATTTGTTTAGCCAAATTGATATAATTTGTTTAGCAAAATTGGTATAATTTGTGCCATATGCTCTCTTATTTACAGTTTTCCCTGCAAAACATTTTTAATAGATGCCGAGCACAAGCAACTTTCTAGCTCTGTGCCTTCCCATGTGTCATAGCTGTTCATCACAGCTGGGATCGTCCTCCTGTGGCAATCTGTAACCGAATAGCGTGTTCCTTGAATTTTTTATCTGATCTCTGGCAATAGAGGAAAGTTGCTGCTGATGAGCCTGATTTCCTGAAACCTGACCTGATAGAATGGAGGACGCAAGGAATATGGAACATTAATGGTTTTCTGATGATGTTCTGTATTAATCTCGGGAGAAAACCTCCTTTGGAGAATGTTTCCAGCAGATAGCCTGGGACACTCTGGAGTAAGCATTTTAGTAAGAAGCAGCAAGCTTTGTGTTATCAACCCTCCTGAAGCTGCAGCAGCAGTAGTATATTAATATAAATTAGCATGAACTGTCACAAACAGGCTGAAGTGAAGGGCTAAAACTGTCAGCCACCACAGAAGGGCTTTTACATTCCTCCTGGCCTCCTTAACGGGACTGACAGTCTATACTTCAACATACAGTGGAAAATTAGAGAGTAAGCCACAAAGATCCAGGGAAAAAAAAATCTGGAATCACATAAATGTCAGATTGACCAAGGAACTGCTTTTCTTGCATTTATGAGTGAGATTTCACTCCTGCAAATACAGTAAATAATTCTGTCCCAGTTTAAATGAGACACAGGCGTTTTGCTGAGGATGAATTATGAGAAAAAGACCCAAACTCCTCCCTCTAAGCAATTATAAATCTGAAATTAGGAGGCTCCAATTGAGGGAAAAAAATTATGGAAAAGGGAAAAATAACAGCCCTTTATTAAGAGGTATGTTTGTATTGGCAGAAACAAGGAAAGAAAACAAGTAAAACAACCAAACAATGCTCCTATACCCACAAATAATCCCCTTCAAAACACACCAATAAACAAGCAAAGAAAAAAAAGGTAAACAGTTCAGTTTGTACCCTTTGGTGCAATTCTAACCACAGTCAACAGGGGGCACTGTTGGGTCATGGGGATGTAGAGCTTGTAGTGTCCTGTGCCAGTCACCAGGTGGCGCTGTTGGATCACTGGAGATGCAGAGCCTGCAGTTCTTTATGCCGGCCAGCAGGGGGTGCTGTGGAATCACTGGTCATTGCCATATGGGGGTAACACCCTCCAGGGTGTGCTGGAGAAACCAAAAAAAAATGGGTTTCCCTCCTCTCCCCCACACACTGGGAAAGGGGAGAGAGAGAGGGGAGAGAGTAAAGGGGGAGAGAAACAACAAAAAAAGTCCTCCCCAATGGGAAAAAACCCCAAAACCTCACTCTGTTCGGCTGGTCGAATCGTGTGGCACAATCCTCTCTCTCACCCTGATGTACACAAGGACCACCGCCAGGAAAGAAACAAATGGGAATGGGGAAGGGGAAAAAACCCTCCAGAAAACAGCTCCTCTCTGATGAAAAATCCAAGCAGGATCTACAGCAGGCAAGCAGGCTGAGAACAGAAAGAACCACCGAGCTTCCACTCTGACCCCCTTCCAGCCTCCGCAGCAAGCCCAAAACTCCTCCCCTCATTTCCCAGGAGATGAGAGAAAAAAGTAAAGAGGAGCTCATCCTCCCCGTTTCCTAGGAGATGAGATTCTGAGCAATTAGCCAGAAAGCCATTTCTTTTGTGTCCTTTAAGTGCCCACTTATCAACCCTGCACAAAGTGGGCAGAGGGAAGGGAAAAAATTCCTGCCCAGTTTCCAAGAACCAGCAAAACCATGACAAATTCAAAATCCTTCTTGTGCCTGAGAAGGAGGGGAGTCTTTTCCTTTACTGACAGAGGTGTATTTCTGCTGGCCCTTTCTATTAGTGAATATGTTTTCAAGTGGTACCCATGCAGCATAAGTAACTGGGGGAAGTGAGTGACTTCTAGTTTTTACACCAGTTGAATTTTTGAGAGTAATCCAGTAGTATGTTTTCAAAATCATAGGTGAATAAGAGGAAGCTGAGCCTTTGGTTAAATGGAGGGAACAATAGGGCAGCAATTAACTTTGAAAAGTCAACAGTGAGTAAATTAGGCATACAATTCAGAACAAATAAACATGGGAATATTCTGCTATTTCTCTGAAGTGGTTTTCAGGCTACCCTCATGGGGAGTGTTGATCACTGGATCAATTCCACTCAATGGAAAAAGTTTCTATACAGCTTTGACTGTCTTTCCATTTTACCTGATGGTGGTTTTTCATCCAGTGGGTAAAGAAGTGGCACTTGCAATGGCCAGACTTACAATATTCCATCTGATGTTTCTGGTTACACTTTTCCTGAACTTGCTGTTGCTGTTTATATATTATGTCTCTGTGCAGAGCCTGCTTCCTCTGCACCATTCTCACTCAGAAAGAAATAGGAGGTTGTTAGGAATCATATCGCTTTATTCAAGTATCACTGACCATAATCAGTAGGCAAGAAAGAGCACCTTCACTGTCTGCTAAAATGGAGTCAGTGGGGTTTAGCTCAAAGCACAGTGCAGCAGCAAACTTGATAACTATTACTCCTTTTAATTTTATCTCAGCCTATTCTTAAATCTCTAGCAAGTGTACATACATTTTTTGAGGATCTTTACTAAAAATAGACCAAGCGTGCTAATTTGGCTGTAAACATAATACATCTGGCATCTTTGAAGTAAGATGTTTCATGATTTCACTGAAATCAAAACAGCTTACTAAACTGTTAATTAAGCATCCTCATCTGGTGGGCCACAGCCTATAGAAATAAAATTGTGAATAGTAAAATGAAGGAAACATAAAAGGAGTTTCTTTTGATCTGGAGGTTTTCCCCATCAGAATGAGATCACGAATGCTTCATTATGTTTTATAGACTGACGGAAGTTCAAAGCTAACACTAGACAGAAATTGGTTGTCATTACTTAATTAAATATAGATCATTCAATCAGATATGGTTGTTGGTTATGGTAATTCCTGCAAGACTGCATCCATGAATAACAACAGCAACAATGGGAATCATACAGGGTCACAAAAATGTTTAGTCTCTCCTTGGAGCACCATTTCTACTGATGGAAATAAACTTAAGCATTTTACTATGGAATGCCAGAAATAAAATAGGAAATAAGATGATGGGGACATTGAAAAAGATGCAAGTTTCATCTAATATGGAGCTGTCCCCAGCTGATTGCCAAAGGACCAAGGATGTGCCTCTACTGACCGGGGGTAGCAACAAAAGCCCATTATTGACTACCTTCAGTCAAACATCTCTGCAAAATCTGCCTACAGAAAGGAGCTGGGGATTCAGGAGCAAAGCAAAGCACCTCTACAGAGCTTGATAAGAGGAATTCACTCACTCCAAGTGCAAAAACCATCCATGGCCCAGGTCCTGCTGTCACACTGCTCAAACTCTGAGATCTGGGAAAATGAGTAAATAATAAAGAACTGGTCAGGACTACAATTTCCAATGAATTTGGTGTAAAAATACATAATTCATTGCTCACATATATCTTCAAAAACTGGGTGCTGCTGAAAATGCCTGCCAGTTTTGTAGAAAGAAATTGGTTAAAACTCTTGAAAATATAAAATGTATGCAAGCACTTGCTTTGAATACCAATCATAAATGAAGACCCTACTTCTTCAGGAACTCCTTGACATAGTTGTATTCTCTGGACTTCTTGGGAGGATTTTTTCACATCAATACATCCTTTGTTTTATGTCGGGGAAAAAAGTGAAAGAGCTCTGAATATATACATACATATATATATGTATGTAACTGCATATGATGGTTAAAGGAAATTTATAGGAAACTATGTTAAGCAAATAATTTTTTAAAATTAACATCTGGTATAAGTGAATATGACACAAATCACATCTAGCTGGAGTGAGCTTTTACTTACTATAGGAAAGGTATTGATATATAGTGTAATACAGAATGGAGAATAACCAGACTTTTTCCATTTGCCTCAAGACCTTTCCATTGATGTTACAGCTTCCATCTTTCATCTAAGAGTTGTTATGGCCATTTTTGATATCACTGTTATAAAAAATCATTAATAATATGAAACTACAATTATTTAATTGGATGCTGTGATACAGTAGCCTGGAGAGTTTAATTATGATACCCATATGAGAGCAATTGCATTCAGAAATTTGAACAGGATCAATCTGATTTGAGAATTAAATCAGCTAAAAGAAATAATAATGTGCTCTTTCATTTCCTCCCCCATTTCCAGTGCTAGTACTCAAACAATACCTCCAAGAATATTCCTGCATAAGCCTCCCTTTGGAGGTATTTTGCTGTCATACTTCTATGGGAAGTTGGTTGCTTTCATTACTCCTCCTGGGAATACAGGCTATTAGCACCTCTAAAGTAATTCTGCCCCTGCAAATATTTCTGGAGGAGAAATGACTGCGGATGAGGCAGACTGTCGATCTGTGTAGAAAGCAGTAGCTTTAATGAGCAAATCCATGACAAACAAGACATTTGGGGATGAGAGTAACAAACAAGCAGCCACAGTAGGTTCATTCCTAGTCTGCTGTATTTCTGCTTTTGGATGGGTAGAGGTACATTTTGAGAGAACTACTGGCACAAACACACAGCTGAAGAAAGCATAGAAATCATTCCCAAGGTTGTACTGAATGACAATACTTTTTTTTGAAAGAAAAGTTATACCAACGTTTTCCAAGCTATAAACTGGATCTTGTATATGTGCATTAAATGTCCACTGAGCACCTAACACATGGCTGTGATTGAAGAACGTAAAAATTCCTCAAAATTTGGGTTTTCTTGCAGATGGGAAGGAAGAAATCAAGGTTCTAGGTTTAGCCAAGTGCTTGGTATTTATTTTTGAGGTCTGATTCCTGGCCTTACTGACTGCAAGGAACTCCTTGTCAACAAAACAGCACAGAGATACATCTGCTTTACCCGGTTTGGTTCACAAGGTCTCCAGCTCTGAAAGTCTATTTGAAACTGTGAGGAAGGCAAAGAAGCTTTTCAGATTCAAGCAAACTGTCCTTTCTTGAGGAAAACTTCCCAACCACCACTGATGATGCAAGGGACAGAATATCCTGTGCTAAATAAAAGCAAAGGGCTGCTCAGATTGTTCCAGCTCTACTCGATCCTCAGGGCAGGAAGAAAGATTGGGGGTTTTGTCCCTGTGCCTGGGACAGCCAGGCAGGACAGTTTTGTGGGGCAGGACAGTTTCTCAAGGGTGAAACAGAGTTCACCAGGAATATGAGTGTTCATATCTCTCACCAGCACTTTTACTGGACTTACTTCAGTAGTTTGACAAGAGGGCATTTGGTCCTCTGCAGGATTTTCTGTTCTTTTTGCATCATTGCAGTCCCTTTTTTTCCAATTTGATGCTCTGGTAGGAAAAACACAGGAGATGACATGTGCCTGAGCTGCTAACATTGAAATGTGCATTAGGTGAAATTTTACAAAAATTAGGGTCTGTTCACTGCAAGCACAGTTTTACAAGAGTTTCTTTGTCCAACATATGAACCATAAATAGTCTCAAAGCAAATAGAGGCAAATGAGCAGTCTGATGTACAGTGAGTATTTAGGAACAATAAAGTAGAATAAAAAAAGGTAATTTCCTCCAGGGTATTGCCCTTGAATCTGGGATTTTCTGGGTGCCTCACATAAAGTTTTACTGTTTGACACAGGAGTAAAACTTCCATCTAATTTTACTAATTTCAATCATTATCTCCTTTCTTTTATAAGATTAGTATGCTCAATAAGAATGGTTTCAGCTAATGTGGGTAATTTAATTGAAAGGCTATTCAACAACCTATTTCTTGAGCAAATGTTCCAAAGAGTCTTTCCCAACTTATTATTTGGTTTCACAGAGTTTAAGGTTATGTTAAGAACTACAAACCCCCTGATTATTTATTTAAAGGAATCCAAATATAGTTTCTTCTAATGCTTTTGTACCTAGAGAATAAAACAGCTGTCAGCAATCTGTTCTTCTGAGAGGCGTTCATGTGAACACTAAGTCTGTTGTTTCTAATTTCAAAAATACAACCACAGTCAACAGTCAACCGTAGACAGGTGTGCAGTCCAAATATAAATTTTGTATTTGCCAGCACATATGCACATTAAGTATGAAGATGGTAATACTGAATTTTACCCAGTGGAACAGTAAGAGCTCTAAAATTAATATCAAATGCCTTGACACTGTCAGATGGTTACCAGGTGCCTTACACCATGAATTTCACACTGTTAGGGGCATGATTTCTGGTACAATATGTCACTGAAATTGCCAAATTCAGGTGTTGAATTATGTAGGGTAAAATTTCTTATGCTGGACAGATTTAAGTGGTTTCATGCATGGAAGTTATTTTTGTCCCATGGGCTCTGTGAGCACTTAATATAGACATTTTGAAGTGGACAAGCTAAGGATCATTGAACAAGGTCACCTGCTAAAGTGCTGCAATCCCCCTTTTTATGGCCAGGTTGAATAGATCCACAATTTTTCTGAATAAAACAAGGTTTTATTCTATAGTTCTGAATAAAATAAAGTCCCAGCTTCAGACTTTTACTTTTCATACAGTAAGTAGAAAAGTATATGATAAGGGCCTGGCCATGTTGATATCAACGGCAAAATTCGTATGGAATTTTAAACTCTGGCCACTGACTCTAAATGGTACTATTATAATATCAAAAAATGAATTAGATAGAGACTGAGCATAGAAGTAGGAGTTGCTTCATTTAGTATAACACATTGTGTGAATTAAAACTTACTTTTTGTCTTTGTTTCTTCTCAGCTAAGAACAGCAACATGTCTGAGCATGTGTGGAAGAACTTGTGTGGAACCTCAAAGTGCATATTGAAGTTCCCGTGGAGTTTCTTTTTCCATGAAACAATGTGCAAACATTCTTTTTAAAAAAGGGAGGGGAAGTTGAGGAATGAAACCAAGCATTCTAAGGTATTCCTGTATGAGAGTCTTATTTCATTTAGCCAGAAATAGGGGGCATGCTGGACAAAAGGAGCATATTTTGACATGAGGGCACATTCGCTGCAACCATGAACATTCACACTCTCACTTTGCTCACAACTCCCTTTTTTCCCAAGTTTGTGTGCATGCCTGGAATGTGTTACATGTCCACACATTTCTTATACAAGTGTGGGACTGGAAATTGCCACCATGTGTGCCTCCATCTCTAAGCATGGGAACACACTCTCTGCTGCAGTGGCTGGGAGCATTTTCGATGAACAACCAGGACACCATCAAAAGCCATTGAAGCGGCAGAATAAACAGAGCACTTTACTGATAGCATTTTATTGCTTTGAAGGAAATGTCTGAGACTGCTAGTGATCCAGAGAGTCTCTTTAATTGGCCTATGGCTTTTTATTTAATAAAGTTTTGATAAGTCCAAGTTGATCTTGAGTAATGTGTTGGTATGGAAACAATCTAGTTCAAAGGATGATTAATCCGTTCCAGTGTGATAAAGTGTTAAGCAGGGATAATTAATTCCAGATTTTTAGATTCAAGAACTTGAGCTTCTGCATGGTTAATCAAACACATAATATAATGTGTAAGATAATGCAGAAAGTCTGATCACATCTCACATGTCCCGCCAGAAGCCTCATCTATCAAAAAAGAAATAATCTCATTCTTGAAGCAACTTGACAGTGCAATCAGACACTGCACCAGAAACTATTCATTTCACATCTAGCCATCCATCCAAAACATAGTGGTTGAGCATTCATCTTGCAAGGATTTCTGTAACCCACATGCTCTTTCACACGACTTTCCCAGTATATATGAGCCTTCATTTTGATCTCCTGTTGGAAGTCCTCAATTTATATCATTCTAGATCAAAGTGAATGTCAAATCACTAAAATCTGGAATCAAATCTGGCAACCTTGAACATACCTTTAAATAATTTGACCAGATGTAGTGTACAGTTCTCAGATGCATCCCCATATTTTGGGAAGTGAACTCTGACATGCAAAATGAAGTATGAGATTCACTACTAGAAATCGATATTTATCCAGGAGGTAATAGTTACAATAAAACACACTTTCCCCCTATTTAAGTAAAGGATACTGTGAGACAAATAAGGCTTCAAAACATAAGATTTTGTCAAAAAGAAAGGAAAACCCAGTAAATTTAGGATGTTTCTGAATAAGTAAGGATATTGGTAGAGAAGAAATTGTAGGGGACAGTTGCTGTTGTAGTCTTCCTGTAAGATTTGGGCTACTTATGCTAGAGGCAGAGAGGAAAATTGTCACCAGAGAATAATTACAGAGTTCACACTGACATCTTTTTGGCATAATTGCCTTGTTTCCTGTACTTGATTGGCCAAATTACAGCTGTCACTGCAATATGTCATTTTTGAAAAAAATGAAATGGTTATTCAAGACAAGGTCTTCGCTGTTGAGTTGTATAATCCTCATGAAGTACATCATTTGGAGTTTCTGAAAATTCCACAGCTAATGTAAATACTAAGATATAAAGCAAAGACAAAATGGAAAGGAGCAACAAGTCTTGGGGCTAAATTACATCTTCACTTGGACTGTTGCAGCTGCAGTGAATAGAAAAGTCAGGCATTAGACTCTAATGTGTGCAAATGTATCTCCAATGTAATTACGATCTGACTTCCAAAATAGGTTTTAGAAAATTATAAAAAAGCTATGCTTCTTTCTGCCTGGAAAAAAGTTTGAAGGAAAGAAGTCACTTCAGGAGTTTCAATGTTGTTCAAAGAAACGACAACCACATCACCAAGGTGTCCTTTAGAAACTGTGGAGTGTGATTGGACCAAGTAACGTGAGTTCACCAAAAAGCATAATAAGATAGAATGCTTAGAGGGTTTGTGAGAAATCATGCTTGGGCACTTGAAAATTTTCTACTTTTTCTGACTGTTCAAAAGACACCTTCACAGAAAGAGACACAATTTTTCATTATGGGATACTGAAAAGTGCTCCAAAATGGGCAGAATTGGATGGATGGAAAAAAGTTCGTATTTTAACACAGAATTGTAGTTCATTAAAGACAGTGAGGAGGCAGAAGAGAAATTAAAAACTTGACATTCACCATTTAAAGCCAGATATAATGCCAGGAACTGAGAAATTTATTAGATTACTAGAAAGAAACAAGACTAATTGTATAAAATTTTCCCTATTTCAGGACATTAGCTTGCTAACTGAGGCCAGAAGAACTGAAACCTAGCAAGCAGTATTTTATAAAAAATAGGAACTGCAGCTGATACCACTGTTCCCAATACCCCTAGCAGATGTGAGTTCCTTAAACACACTAAGTTTGGGAGTTTGGAACCATGCCAAGAATGCCATCAATAAGCAGCCCCTAGCAGGATTCAAAGGATATCTTCTGCTACATAGCAGCATGGAGGTTTTGTTTCTGTTAGTGTGATTTATTTCATTCTGTAGAGCTTCTTTTTGATTCCGATGTTTGGATGACGGGTCTACTAGAAACATGTCATCAGAAGACAACCACATTTCCCCTCCATTATTATATGTGCAAAAGAGAATCAGCAAGACTGCCACCTCTGAATGCTCCTGGTTGGGGAAATCTCCAGGGAAATACAAGCATAGGAAGAAATATTTAAATGTCTATTTCTGCATCACATGGGCTTCAGAATATGTCAGAGCCTGAGTATAACTGCATTGAGTTACTAAGGGTTGGAATAACACCAGTAAATGTCAAACAATAATTGAACACTCAGAGAACTTGAGCTCCATTTTTGTCTATGGAGACATTATAAGATTATATCTCTTCATAAATATCCATGTGAAATTTCTCCTAAACCACAATCTTAATTAAACAAGACTTAATAAAAGTAGGAAATTTATTTTAAATGGAAAAAACCCTATTTTTTTATTTTTTGCACTCCGGCAAAGGATTTGCACAAATGCTTAGAAGTTCCTAGGTTTGTTTCTTTCTTCATATTTCTCCAGATTTTTTCCTCTAGAAAGAGAATGAAATGTTAATACAAAACAGTTCAGGGTTTGCATCATATTAATATACTGATTTTCTCAAGAGAAGAGGAAATCTTATTGTGGAGGAACAGGCAATGTCCTGAGGACAACCTGAAATGCCAACTTAGCATTTTTGCGCTTCAAAAATATCTTTGACGTTTATAAACATCCATGATGGTAAAATTGAGGCTGTTAAAAATATATGGTTTACTTCAGTAGTTTATAATTCACAGTGGTATTTAGTGGGTGGAGTTGTAAATTAGTAAGTGGACTGCTGCCACAGCAGAGTAGGCTGCTGGTCTGCAAAGGAGAATCGTTGCTAAGAATAGGAATGTGGTCATGATGGTAATGAACAAGGGCTCGGCCTGCCTGAAACGTTGATGGGAGATCAGGAGATGTTTGTTGGATGTGTAACAGCTGCTCTAGAAATTAGATGTTATCAAAGATTTGTTTGAAAGATTGAATTGGATGAAAGGCATGCAAAGCTTAACCAGAAAGACCTGGTTTCAATTTTTAGCAGCACCACCTAAAGGCAGGGCAGCAAATGAAATATTTATGTTGTCGATAAATTGTAAGGTACAATTTTACAGCCAACAAAATCCTATATTTATTCTGCTGCAAGAGGGAGGTAAGATTGCAGCAGTCTCTACACATGAAAGCATCTTTCTTCCTTTTGCTTGTAAATGAAGTAGATTGATCTGCCATGAAAGCATTATAATATGTTAATCAGCTATTTGATCTGGTATGTCAAAGGCTTAAACAAAAAAGTCAGCTACTCCCTGGAAACAATACTAATGTCCTCAATAAATTCAGCATTTTAAAGACACTAGATTTTCTGGAGCAGGGAGGGGGATGAAGACAGGGAATACATACTTATCACTAACCCTTTGGACTATTAGTAGCTGTAAAAAGCCTTATCCCAAGGTTGCAAGCCAACAGCATTATATCAGAAATCCTGAGTGAAGGGTGCAGATAGACAGATGTAGATGGCAAGGTAAAAACCATGCCACCTTCAAACTTTTTGACACTTCATTTACTGAGTGACAGCTGCTATGGGATTGCTGTTCAGCCAGTCATAGTCAAGAAAATATTCTGAACCCAAATGCATAACAGACTGACCTGTGTGACTGCAATAATTTCATGTTTTTGACTGCTTGAATTCCCAATCAGCAGACACCAACACAGTGCTCTCACTTTTCTGGCCTTAAGAACCATACTTGCGCTATGTCAGCCTCAAAGTGATCCACAGGAAACTTTCACTGAAAAGAAAACAAAACAAAAAAAATCTGTATGAAATCATTGTGTCTCCTTCACACCCTGCACAGCCCTTTCCTATGGGGCCCTGCTTTGATCCCTGTTTGTGCTGGCCAGCTCTCAGCCCCCCAGTGCAGTAAGGGTTGCACACAGATGTTACACTGCTTAACAGTTTGTCAGCAGAGTAAAACAGGTCCCTTATTCTATAGAAAAATTAACAACTAAGTGATTTGGTTACAAAAAGTCTAATCTGGCTCTTTTTTGAGTCAGGACATCAGACAGGATTCTAGTAGAAAACATTTTGAGCTGCATGATAACAGTCCCTCCTTAAACTTTTCCCAGATATCCAAGTGTTGATTTCATTCACCATTAAATAGACAACTTCTTGAAAGGCATGGTGTGCTAGTAACCAATCACACTCCACTGAGGACTCATCCATATGGTGCTCAGTGATTGCTGTGTGTCTCCTATAAAGATATCCCTTAAGATGGCACATGTCTAGCCCAAAATTATTGAGTATTTGTGCTCTTACTGGAAAGACTCCTTCTTACAGTAGAATTTATAGCAGTTTTTGTGTCATAGGTAGGAAACAGAAAAAGTTCTTCTATCAACCTTAAGCCACTAATAAGCTTCTTGGCAGACAGGATTAAATAGGGTAGGGTCCCAAGTAGCCCTAACACTTACGCTTCTTGGTTTAAATTCTGTGTTGCCATGCCTTAACACATCTAAAGCATATTGCAGACTGCAGTAGGGAGTGGAGAGCCCAAGTCAGCTCTTTAAGATCTGCCAGTTTCAGGACTCTACGTGCCCACAATTTAACCTAATTAAAGCTCTGAAACTGTAATTTTTTAATAATAAAACATTTATTATTTTAAAAGAAGTTTCATAGAAATAAAATAAAGAACACGGAAATAAACATCATCTTTTTTCTCTAAATGAGTTAGAGATCTTTAAAATGCAAACACCATCATCAGCTAACACCAGTTCAAGAAGAAACTGAGAAAAATCAAGTGATGTTTGTGACTAGCAGCCCTATTTCTACCATGCAACCATCCCCCAAACAAACAAACAAACAAACAAAAGGGTAATGGAGAGCCATAAAAGCCAGACAGAACAAACTAAAAAGGAAAAAACTATCTAATTTCCTGGATAGCAAAAGATAGGCTGAAATCAAGTCACTGTACATCACTGTATCATGTAGCAATGAAAAGTGTTCAGTTTTTCATGACAACCTTTTAAAAACCGTTCATGGACTGAACCACTTATTTCCAAAATCTTTCCTTCATGTATGATGACTTTCAGAAATGTTTTGATATTTCATAAGTAGCACAAGCAGAACTAAATGAATACAAATATTTCTAAGAGTGTGTCTGTAATGCAACCCTCCTCTCCACATTTAACAGAAATATTTGTTACTAGCATGTCATATATAATAAATTATAATTTTATTTTTAAAAAGTGCTCACAAGCAGATCATTAACACATTAGTATTTGCTGGGATAGATAAGCTTTTGCCAAAAAAAAAAAAAAGAAAAGAAAAAACATCAATATTCAACACATTACTAATAACTAAAAATGAAACAGAACAGGTATTGTCCATGCATGAACTAACTTTTGTTTTCTATCAAAAAATACATATTATTAATGACACGTTGTAAATTACATATATTTAACTGAATGCACTACTTTTCCAAAAATATATCACAGCATACATCTATAAAACCAAGTAGAATTTAGAATTAAAACCAAAATCAGAACTGTTTTTTGTATTATACCTGTATCAGTTGAATATTCACATGTGTTTAACCTGAGGCACAAATCAGTCTCACTCAACAGCAGCTCTTGAGCTCCAACACAAACAATTAAATATCTGTCTTACTGGACCTGTGTCACCTTGAAAGGTGGCACATTCAAAGCTTAAATTATATATGCATCTAAAATACTTTCCTACTTATATTTATAAAATATTACTTTAGTATATTCCTGAGCATTATGGAATGTAGGGTAAAAAAGGCTGGATGGGACAGCCTTGTGGTGGCAACCCTCCCATGCAGTGCAGCAGTTCATGATATATTGGTGCTACACTACAAGGCAAAGAAAGGAAGGGAACCTAATGCTCTAAATTTTTGCTTGTCTTAATAGCTTAGATATCATTTTCTCAGGCAACTAGGTTTCTACAGTAACAGAAGTGCAATGACTGATAAACACTATATAATTCTGGATATTTAAAATATGCAAATTACTATTCAACCAGCCCATGGGTGTTTTCTTCCTCCATGTGATTTGAAAGATAGCCTGTGATCACTGCATTTACTGTGGACTAAAAGGACACATGGAAGGTTTTACAGCACAGGACCTAACAAAGGTAGTCAATTCACAGACCAATTTACAACTTTGTGTGCCTACCCCACACTTACACTCCTGCCACTGCTGTCATGCAGTCTGCCTTTTCACTTCTGTGCCATGAATAATATAATTGTTTATATCAGTAATACCAGGTCCTCTTCCTATATGACCAGCCAGTAGGATATAAAGAAATGACTGACCTGCTTCTTCCTGCCCACAACAGATATTTTGCTAGGGAAGAACTAACATTGGAGTACTCAATCCTGAAAAATACTACAAGAACTATAAGAACTCAACAGCTTTTTCTCCAGCTTTTCCTTAGAGCCAAATCTTGAAAAGTTTCTTCACTTTAAAATAGGTTAAAGAGTTCAGCCAAACATTGTTACATATGCAGCTTTCAAAAACTGCACATAATTCTGGATGCTCTGGTTCCTGTTCTCTGATTTCTGCAGGCTGTTCTCCAGCTCTTTCAAACATACTTCATGGTGCTTTTCATTCTGGTAAAAAAAGATAAATGCAAAGCAACTTAAAAATACTGTGTAAATTAATCAACATAATTATCTAAGACAACTGGTACCTAATTTTTATAGCCTTACTTACTTGTAAAATTTTTCAGAGGCTCCACAAAACCAAAGGTGATAAAAAAGGTCTCAAAAATATTGAAACTTTTAGTTATGTTAAGTAAGGATCAAACTGAACATGTTTAAATAGGTTTATAGTCCAAAAAGGCCTTGGAACATAAAAACCAACTTCCTGAATTTTTATCATGAAAGATTCCTGGCATCTCAAAACTATTATGGACAACTGTTAAGTCAATGGGAAATGTCAATGTACAAAGTATGTTTTCAAGTTGAATTAATTTGCTGCTCTGAAAAGAGTGTATCAATTGTATTAGTAGTGTGCTTTCGGTTAAAGGAACTTTTTCTGTAAATGGTGATGTGGTAAGTAATCTCTTAAATCACAAACAGTATTATTTACTCACATGGTGAAATATGCAGAGGAGTTGGTTTTTTTCTTCTTTCCCCTCTCTCACTTCAGATTCAAGAACTAGCAGTTTTATCTGAAAGGCTTGTTCTCTGTATGACATTTTTTCCTGTTCTTCAGCTACCTATAAAAGTAAGGAGAGAGAAATTATGTATGTTTACTCTTTCTTAAAGCCCAAATTAAATTATTTTCTTATATAACATTAATAGCTCTATTTCATACTCTTTCATCTAATACTTTATTTCTTTCCCATGCACAGAAATGAAAAAAACCTGAGAAACATTCTGGATAAATTTGAAAGATATTTCAATTTGAAAAAAAAATGTAATATTATTGGGAGTGGAACCCTTTTTTAACTCATTTTTTAATTAAGCCAAACTTGTAATTTTTTCAAAACCAAATAAATATCCTCAGAGAGTACTGAAAAAAATCAGATAATTTATTTCAACATGATTAATCTGAAATTACAATTTCATACATATTTTCTGACTAAACTAATACAATTACTACAATCTAAATTTCTACACTTCCTCTTGCATTTGATTTACTGTTTGCATCTTTTCTACCAATGACAAAATTGAACTTAATATTGAAAGCATGTAAATTTTTCCTTTAAAAAGAGAAGGATTTCAATATCAAAGTTCTTTGGGGCTTCCTATTCCAAAGAAAATAAAAGGCAAGACTAAGCTTATCTTGTACCATCATTTTTTCTCGAACACATTTGTTTTGAATGCTGTTTTTAACTAGAAAGTGACAAACAAGACTGAGAGATGTATTAAATCACCAATACCATTTTTCTCCCTTTCTCCAAAGCAGATTCAAGTTGTCTGGTTAATACATTATATTCTGCAATTTTCTCTTCAAGCTTCAATTTACTGTACTGAAGACTCTGATCTTGTGTTCTGAGCTGACAAGCAAGTTCTTCATTCTGAAATTCCATCTTTCCTAATTGCCTTTACACAAAAGAGACAATGCATTATAATCCACTATAGCAGAAAAGTGTAGGAATTAATTTCAATCAGATTTTTTAAAGGTTACCTTTTAAGATCTTCATATTTCCTCTGAATGTTGCAGTTCTCTTCTTCTAAGGAAAGACTGCCCATAGAAGTTACACTATTGTCATCCTGTGAAAAGGATAATTTGTTTCTAGTTGAAGAGACCTATATGCAGTATCTTGCTAGACTAAAGTAAGCTTGCCTATTAAAATCCAATCAAACAATTTAACTGTAATTTCAGATAAATGTTATACTATATTCAGATAAATGACATATTTAATTCAAGTAAATGTTATCTTGTATTTAAAACAAATAAAATACAGCCAAAGAAGCAGTCTAAAAGTTTGTGTGAACACTTTAAGATTGAAAATCTGTTATGTAACAAAATGAAGTCCTAAAAAACTTCACATGCTGCTCATGCAGCCTTATGTATTAGAGCTGGTCAGGTCTACCTCCCAGCAAAAATAAGCTCCCTCACACTAGAGTCACAGAAAGCATAAAAATAACACTGCATACATATATGTGGTTATTGCAGATAAACAATGCAGCACAGACAAAGAATTTTGGAAAGAAGTGATTATCAAAAAAGAAAACCGGCTTCATGAAAAGAGGTGTATCAGCAGTGGAAGCTGAAGAAAGCAAGAAGTCAAACTATTTCCTCTTGCCCA